ATTGGTCATGTCTGATCATAAAATTATCCACTTAGGGGGAATAAAGAAAAGATGGCTAAGTACATTAGTATATCAAAATAGTAGTTCCTAATGTTTATGGAAAAATGTATTTTCTTTATTACCACTTCACAGTATTGCATAATACACTGTATATCATGTAACAGGAGCCCTGGTGGCCCAGTAGTTAAGAGTTTGGTTGCTAACCAAAAGGTCGGCAGTTAGAATCCACCAGCTACTCCTTGGAAACCCTATGGGGCAGTTCTACTCTGTCCTACAGGGTCACTATGAGCCGGAATCGACTCGACTATAGCGGAATGAATTATGTAACAGGTATAATGCATAAAATTCCAAGACTTACCAAAAGTTTGCGAATATACCCACTCAAAATTATAGCAACTTTTCTGGTATTTTTAACTGCTCTATTGTAAATTAAAGTTGTAGCACCTCGGTTCCAGTCTACTACAATTATATTCATGTCTTCTTCATTCAACAAAAGCCTTAGAAGGTTCTGAATCCATGATGGAGTAGAGCCTGTTGGTCTATAGCCATGAATAAGCCATGCTGTTTTCTTTTTTATGTTGAAAAGAACATTAAGTGAGTTATCTTGCTCAAATAGTGGCTCAGCACAATTTAGGTTGTTTCTTGTATACAGCATCAGAACTATCTCCATTCTAGGACTAAACAAATCTGTAAAGGAATCCTTTACACTTAACTGAGTGAACTCAAGACATGGTCTTTTAGTCTCTGAAATTAAAAAAAAAAAAAAATTAAAAAGTCACTCAAGCTGAGGACTGGGATAGAATTCGATTCTTGTTGCTGTTTCTAAAAGAAGAACTGGACTTGGAAGGACGAAGGACAAAGGATTTCACATCATTAGCATTTCAGCATAATTTCTTGAGCTACTACAAAATACAAAGTAGTGTAATAAAAAAGCCTTTTTGATTTAGAAGTACTAAAAAATTACAATGGAAAATATAAATAAATGGTGTTGATTAAAAATTTGGAATTATATCTGTATAAGATATTAGAAAACAATACCAATAGGTATGACTGAAATCATTGACATTATTAATAAAGTATTGTGCACAGTAATAAAAGTACATAAGTTGATTTTAAGTTTTAACAAATATCACAGAAGAGTGTGTATATATATATGTATATATGCAATAAGCATTAGAAAATTATATTTAACCTTCTCAGTGATCAAATAAATACAACTCAATACAATAGGTGTAATTTTTTATCAAAGTAAATAAGATGGAAAAATCCATCCAATATTGAATATGGTAAGCATAAATGTAACAAGTTATTCATATATATGGATGCTGAGAGCATAAACTGATACTATATTCTTTTGAAATTTTATATACAAATAGTATATATACAATCTTAGAAATATTCTTGATTTTCTTTATTAAATTTACATTAATGAAATAAAAATATGCATTAAATGCAAAGACATTACTCATAGGATAATTTATTATGGCACAAAAAATTTAAAACACTTCAAATATCATCATGACAGTATTCTCATCCATGTGTGCCATCTAGCTAGCTAGCTAGCTAGCTATCTAGCTATATATCTTTCCATCCATCCATCCATCCATCCATCCATCCATCCATCCATCCATCCATCTATCCATCCACCATCCATTCTAGAAGGAACTAGGATAGAAAATGAAAGAATGAAGTCAAACTGATAGCAATAGTTACTACTAAGCAGTGAAACAATGGTTGCTTTTTATTTTCTTTCTCATAGTTCTTAGATATTTCCAATTTTTTCAAAAAAAAGCATGTAATACCAAAAGAATGTTTTTTGTTTGTTTGGTTTTTTAATAAGAGCACTGCTTCTGGAAGTTTAATATGGTAAGATATTTGCAGAAGCAATCTGTCAATATATATCAAAAATTCACAAAAATGTTAGTGTGTTTTATTCCAGTAATTCTACTTCTAAGAAGCTGTCTCAAGAATATAGCCTGAAAACAGAGAAAAAACATGCTCTAATACAAATTATTTTAACGCTGAAAAAATGGAAGTGATTTAAATGACCAGAAATAAGGATAGGATTAAGTAAATTATGATATATCCATTTACCTTATAAATCCATAACAATATGTATTAATTCTAATAATTCTAGTTTGGAAATTATACACGCAATATTGGCACAATTATGTGAAAGATACATAGGAGGAAGGCAATGAAAGAGAAACAAGACCTGCATTCAGTTCCCAGGTTGAGCTGAGATATAGTTGAACAAGTCAGAAAATCTCAATAGTCCATTTGTTCTGAGTATTGGGGAATGAGAAAGTTGAGAGGCGAAATAGATCAAACTACAGCGTAATACTAATGCTTGCCAGACTGTGAGAATTGTGTAGAGGAGAATTGTGTACAGCTGCTTCTCACCAGCTGAAACCACCAGTTTGAAGGGCCAAAGGTAATCAGTACATCCTAACTGCTGGTTCACTCCAAGCCAAGGTAGATTTTACCTGGCTCTAGAATGAAAAATGAGGAATAAAACAGTAGTATCATTGTGACAAAAATACCATAAAATGAAAGGGAACATTATGCAAAACAATTAGCAAAGAAACTTATTATCTATTAAAAGGTATGAAAATAATTGCAGAAAATTCTATAGCACCGTCATTAGAATGCAAGAAAAAAATGGCCTCTCAAAAACAGGAAGAGGTGGAGCCAACACAGCATTATACACAGAAGCACCATGCCATCCCTCTGCAGCAAAAACCCGGAAAACTAAGTAAAACAGACACAAACGTCAATCCTAAGGACCAAACGAAGGAATAAAGTACTCAATCAAGCACTGAATGGAAAAAAGAAACTGACAGAGAACAGAGAACAAAGAGAGCTATGGAGTGTAGGTCCCATACCAGCTAACGTGGCCAGATTCACCATCTTGGGCTACAGCCACCAAAGAACTCAGACAGGGAGTACGGGAAGGCAACACCACAGAGCTCCCAGCAACCAGGGATACATGCTTTCCCACCTCCATCCTTCTTCCCTCTATCCAGCCTCTGCTGCTTGCAAATGGGCCACGATTGCTCAGCCGGAGAGACACTCGCTCACTACCGCTCCAATAGGCCCCCACCGGCCAGTTCCTTCAGTGCCATTTGTTTGTATTTTTTTTTTGTTTGTATTTTTGTTTGTTTTTTAAATTGGCTTTTTGGCTTTTTTTTTTTTTTTTTTTGTTGTTGTTTCTTGCTTCTCTCTCTCTCCCTTCCTTTCCTTTTTCCCATCGAGCTAGCCCCGTGTGCCATCCCCTCCCCTTCTTGACAGGCTGTGATTTTTTTGGTTTGTTCGCTTTGTTCTTTTTGTTTGTTTTCATTTTGTTTTGTTTACTTGTTTGTTTTTTATATGGGGGGGATTTTGTTGTTTTTATCTTTCTCCCTTCTTCCTTATTCTTTCTCACACCCAACTAGCCTCATCTGCCATCGCCTCTCCTTCTTGACAGGCTGTGGTTTTTTTGGTTTGTTTGCTTTGTTCTTTTTTTGCTGTTGTTGTTGCTTCTTTGTTTTTTGATTTTTTTGTTTTGGCCTTTTTTTGTTGCTTCTCTCTCTCTCCCTTTCTTCCTTTCCTTTCTCCCACCCAGCTAGCCTTATGGGCCTTCCCCTCCCCTTCTTGACCACCTGTGATTTTTTTGCTTTGTTCTTTTTTTTTTTTTTTGGTTTTTGTTGCTGTTGTTTGTTTGTTTTTTGATATTGTTTTCTGGGCTTTTTTTGTTACTTCTCTCTCTCTCACTCTCTCTCTCTCTCCCTTCCTTCCTTTCCTTTCTGTGGCCCAGCGAGCCCCATGTGCCATCCCCTCCCCTTCTTGACTGGCTGTGATTTTTTGGTTTGTTTCACTTGTTCATTATTTTTTCTTTCTCTTTTCTTCTTTTTTTTCTGTTTCTTCTCTATCTCTTCTTTCCTTTCTCTCACCCACCTAACCCTGTGCACCACCCCATCCCTTCTGGAGGGGCTGTGCTGCAGTTTGGTTAAAGAGTCAGAGTAAGTGGCCTCCCCAGGTCTGCGCCGTTGTCACTGACTGGCTCCCTCAGTGCCATTTTATTTATTTGTTTATTGTCTGTTTGGTTTTTTTTTTTGTTTTTTGTTTTTAATTATTGTTTCTTCTCTTTCTCTCCCTTTCTTCCTTTCCTTTCTCCCATCCATCCAGACCCATGCACTGTCCCCAACTTCTTCGTGGGCTGTAAGGTACTGCTTGGCTGGAGAGCCTCTGGCACACAGCATCCCCGGGTCTGTGCCACCCCCATAGACCAGCTCCCTAAGTGCCATATTTTTTATTTTTCTTTATCTTTCCCCTTCTCCTCTTCCTTCTCCCTTCCACCTAGGCCCTGTGCTGCCTCTGCCCTTTCCTGATGAACCGCACCGTGCCACCTGGCAAGAGAGACATCAGCTTGCCACCACCCCAATTCTGCACCGTCCTCAAAAACAGGAGGCCCCACCACCATATATCTTGTTGTTACTTTTAGTTTTATTTTATTTATTTATTTATTTTTTGTTTGAGTGTTGATTTCTTCTATTTCCCCTCTTTCTTTTCCTTTCTCCCACCCACTTAGCCCAGTGCACCACCATGCTGCTTTTTTACAGGCCGAGCCAAGCCACTTAGCTAAAGGGCCACCAGCAAACAGTCTCACTGGGTCTGTCCTGCCCACACCCACAAAATCCTACCATATGGCATTTTATTTACTTTTTTATTTTTTTTTAATTATTTTTTTACTTTATTTTTTGCTTTTTTTTTCCTTTTGCCCTGGTTTCTCACTTTTTTCATCAAAACACTTATCTCTGCACATCACAGCCTTTCCATTTCCTCCTGCCTATCTGTGCTCTGTGCAGAGTGCCACGCCCCTGAGCGATACTGACGTGGTCCTCCAACCCCTCCCTGCACTGCCCCCAGGCCCGCCCTATCGCCCAAAGTTCTTGGTGCAAACTACCCATCTCCACCCCTCCACACGTGCTGGACCTGCCCTGCTGCACGATAGCAAAGTGACCAGCCCTACCAACCTGGACTAGATGGGGAGAAGTATCGTGCCCACAGGTGAGCAAGCAAGAGAACACACCCAGCCCACTTGCCCAGACATAACTAAATAAAACAAAAAAGCAGGACAAAATAATTAAATCTACAAAAAAAAAATGAATAAAATAATTCCTGAATATCCCAGAGACAGCAGACAATAACAAAACATATTTAAAAAAAAAAAAAAGGAGAGGATAGCCCCAGAAAACTACCAAAATAAAACACCAGATGACCTTCTGCTATAAGAAAAGGCACTGGAATTACCTGATAGGGAATTCAGAACTCTAATATTCATTCAGGGTTCTCCAACAGATGAATGAAAATGCAGACAAAAACAAGGGAAAAAATAGACAAAATTCATGGAAAAGACAGACAAAACAATGGAAGAATCCAGTAAAATAATATAGGAACAAAATATCAAAATAAATAAAGAACTAGAAATCATATAACAATAACAATTAGAAACACAAAAGATAAACAACAAGATTTCAGAAATGACAGTGTCATAGAAGGATTTAGGAGCAAATTTGAAACAATGGAAGACAGGATCAGTGGAATTGAAAACAAATCCTTGGACACCACTTTGTTTCAGGAAAAATCAGAGAAAAGAATGAAGAAAAATGAATAAACCCTGAAAACGATGTGGAATACAATCAAAACCAAAAATTTGCATGTGTGTAGAGTTCCAGATCAGGAGAAGAAAACGGAAAACATAG